ATGTGGAATTCTGTTTCGTTGTCACTCACGTGCCGTAGTTATCCGTGCAGCCCTTGAGCAGCAGCACGCTGACATGCAGCTGCTCCTCCTCCTGAAGATCAGGCAGCCATTGCAGCAGCTGCAGCATGACCTCCGGCAACACCAGCAGACGCTGCTCCGCATTGTAGCCCAGATTGAAGCAAGCATCCAGGAGCGCAATAGAGGGTGCTTCAAATTCACGCATGCTGCCAAAGAGGCGTTCAATGCGTCCAGCCAGACGCAGCTGCTCTGCACAACGTGGCGAACTCTGTGTCAAGGCAGCCAACGCATCCATCGTGCTGCTCAATGTGGGTGTATGGGATATGTGCCAAGGCTAAGGAAGAGAAAAAGCTAATGAATTGCTTGCCATTCAGTCATAGCTATAGACTCACCCGAATACTTTGTGGCAAACCTATAAGCAGTTCCAGCAGATTTGTCTCGCCAATGGCCTCGCTGACATCGCCGCCACGTGCGTCCCTATTCAAAAAGAGCTGCACAGCAGCCACACTCGCGGAGAGTGCCGTCATATCAATAGCCACATCGCTGTCGGTGTCGCTGGTTATATCAAAGCTGGCAGCGCCGCTGGCAAAGTGCGTCGTCGCCAACAGCTGCTGCAGTGCATCACAATAGAGTTGGATTAATGTAACTAGATCTATTTGGCGCTGCAAAAGAGATAAGGAGAGTTAGCGAGAGATATTATTGCGCTATATGGCAACGTATAGCAACAACTTACTTCTTCTGGACTAGATTTTTGAAGTACAATGACCATCAAAGCGTAACAATTGAGGGCTACATGGCGCAGGCTGCTCGCGCTCTCCCACTGCTGCAGGATGCGCATGATGATGGAAACAGTTGCTGGGCATATTGCTCGCATGCCATTTCGCTGCAGTAAACGAGAGATTAAATATCCAAAACAACATACAGAGCACATACAGGGGGATGAGAGACAGAGAGACAGAGAGAGAGAGAGAGAGTGGGGCAGGGTAGGGGGAGATAGAGATACAGATGATAAAAGCGTTTTTAACCACTCACCAAATTATTATCACAGTTTAGAAGCAGCCCATCACCCGATCGATGGGCGTTTGTAGTAATTAGAGCGTTAGTAATATTTCTAGATGTTGAATTCGAGTTTAGAGTTTTCTGCACGCACACACACAATGGTATAGAATATTTTTAAAGATTTTCTTATTCAACAAACGTCAACAATATGAAAAACGAAATGAAATTTTGAATAAAGCAGTGAATAGAAAAGGAAATATCTAAAGACGGAGTGCAGAATGCAACAAATGTTATAAATAAATATTAATTTAAATAGGTTCAATATCATTTACAGGAAACTTAGACAATTTACAGTTTTTTTATGAAACACATGAATGTAGTAACAGATTGAACAGAAAGGAAAGAATATATAGGTCATTAAAGATAGTAAGTAACAAAATAAATATATAATAACAATTTTACAGCTCGCTATAGCATAATTAACAAGAAGACAATTTCGAATGAAAATTACGAAGCAGCGAAATGATATTTGAGTGGGCCAATGTGCAGACGGGCTACAATTTGTGTGCTCAATTAAAGACAATCGTAAATAGATAACAAAATTAATTTAGATGGTTTATAGATTAATTCCGTGACAGAACTTCAGTTCTGTACGCTGTACCTGAGAGCCGCTGATAATGGCTCCTAGCACATGCAGCAGACTCTCTCCGATGTCGGCAAACTTCAGCAGCGATTCGTTCTGAAAGCAATCTGTAAGGCAAAACAAAAACGAAGTATACATAAATACCAATAACAACTGAGATAAACGGGCCACAATAACATACCATAGATAAAGGGCACGATTTCTACGTGCACCGCATGCGGCTTGTAGGGCAATCGGCTATAATCTGCCAATTGGTTGCGCAGAAAACTGCGCCAAGTTAGATAAGGATCGTACATGACCTCCAGAAATGATGAAAAACTGCGGAACAGGTGACTCATTGCCAGCGAAGAGCGCGGCTGCTCCATTTGCTAAGTAGAAAATACAGAAACAAAACTGTTTTATCTTGCAACAGTTTCAGTTAGTTGTGCGCTTACCTGGGCAAACACCTTTGTAAGTATGGCGATTAGATTGGGCTTGTACTCGTACTTAATTATGGCCAATATATTGTCAAAATGCCGGCAAACTATAACCAGACAGTCAATCAGTATGGCCACCTGTTCGATGCCCTGCTCATCGAGATTATCCGTGTCGCACTTATCCCTCGCTACGATGATGAACTTGCCAATGGCGGGCAGCAGCTCGTCGGGCAGCCGACCAAGATGTGGTCCATTGTCTGGCCGCACCTCGTGCCACAGCGGACAGTGCTCAGACTGAAAGTCCAGTTGCAATTGACTGCGCCAAATGTCCACAAAGCGTGCCACAAACTCACGAAAATATGTTTCGTCATTCTGCAGGAAAATGTGGCAAGAGTGTAAGCAAGGGCCAAGAGTTAAGTCTGACTGTGATTATATAATCATGCAAAATAGATATCTGTTTGTCCATGGCCATTAAGGCGCGGTCACTTTCTGCGGTGATTAATGCAAGCGAATTCGCAAAAAGAAATATAGGCGAAAAAAACACGTCACCTTCCCCGCCTGCAGCAACGGAACAACAAAACAAAAGCCGCCTGCTAATTCCAATCAGAATCCTCCCTTTGCTTACCTTGGTTGTGTATTGCACCCACAGGTTGTAAATATCCTTTTTGTTGTCCATTTTTGTGCGGTTCAGCTTTGAAAAACCATTTGTTACTATTTTCCAATCAGCGGCTTCAACAAAAAAATTGTTTACTACGAGAAGAAGAAGAGTCAGAGACCAGCAACAGCAATAAGAATAGTTAAAAACAAATTAGCCACTGCACTTGCTTAAATACAGCAGAAATTTCTTATTTTTTGTGCTAATAGTAAGGAGAGCGCACTTTGGCTTCAAACACTTTTATAAAATAACAAACATTTGTCAAATAGTAATTTTTTCCATTGCACGGCGAGTGCTGCAAGCCACAGCTGATAAGCAGCTGTTCTAGAGTTGCCAGCTGTAATGCGATTAATCGACTTATTATGGCGGCTATCGATATGCTTATGTTGAGTGCTGCAAAATGCCGCTAACGGAGGTGAGCCATTTGAAAATATGTGGGACGCCTGTTCGTATGCAATGCAATAATTTATTATAACGCTATCACAAATTGATATTGCACCAATCGCCGTTATGTACTTTTGCGAAGTGTTTCCTCCTAGATAGTTTTACGCTTTTTGTTTTCTGGCTATTTTCTGTTTTCTTAATGCTGCAACAGGAAACTTTTTTGAAAATTTAAAAATGCATTTGTTTGTAGGCTGCTAAATGCGTATTTATTTCGAGATTTTTGTTTCGCTTTTTGTTTTCAATTCTAGTAGCATTTGTTTGTTTTTATTTAATTTTTTACATGATATTAGCTAGTAGTTGCGCTTTGTTTATCTTTTTTTATCGTTCATGCAAATATCTTGTTGACAAACTATGTGTGGTGGTGTGTGTGAGTGAGTGTGTATCTTTGCTTATCTTTGATAGATTATTCGCAATAGGTGCAAGTACCGTTGCAAATGCATCTATTTTCCTAGGCAACGTGTTTTGAGAGTATTCGCACTGGTTTTATTTTGTATTTTTAGAAATATTACGATTAGGTTTTTTTTTTTTTGCTTGCATTTTGGGTTTGGTTTTTCATTGTTAATATAAAAAAGGAAACATTATATTTAGTTCTAAATTATTATGATTTTCTGGTTTAATGCATAAGTATATATATTTAAAAGTTGTAATTGAATAGCTTGAACCATTTTCTTTCTTTGTTTTTAATATCCTATAAATATCATTATCCATATATATGTATCCATATATATATATATGTATATATATAATCATATAATCTTAATAAAAATTAATATGTAGAAGAAAAATCTTATGCCTCTGTTTCCGTTAGTTAAAGCTGTGAGTTTTTATCCGCATTAAGATTAGAAGGATAACAATTGTTATTATTATAGATATTTTTTTCGTAAATTAAAATAAAATTTCGTTTTAAATATACTTAGGCTGCTTTTTGTATATATTTAATTAGTTGTTATTTGAAACTAAACTGCTGCTTAATCTTTAAATTTAGCAAATATCTAAAAAGAAAATAAGGAAAATGCAGCGTGACTTTTTTTTTGGTTAAATTTTTTTTTTTTAGATTTTTTATTTTGCTTTGCTTTTTGGTATCGATTGTTGCGAATAGAAAAATAATTCAAGTAAATATTTTTATTCTTTGTGTATATGTATTGTGTATAAGTATTATAATTTGCCTTTTCTTTTTTTTTTTTTTTTTTTGTTTTAGGTATATAGGTATATATAGTACTTCATCTTAAATCTCTCTTCAAGTGGTTTTTGTTGTTATTGTATTTGTACCAATTAAAGTAACACTGCTTACGTACAGCATTCTCCCACTACTCGTCATACTGTTTTTCCTCAACTAACAGTGCTTTCGATCAGTATCCTTTCCATGCTGTTCCTCATCTAGTAACACTACCTCCCATCGTCCTTCCATTTCTCGTTTTTCCTTCTCTTCATTTTCTGTTGCTAAGCTTCTGTACTTCTGTATTTCTCTTTGTTGTATATTCATAATATTCATTATTCATTTTTCATATAGTGAATAGAGTGAATACTACAATGTACCGTTAATTTTGAAATTGTTAAGTGTGAGTGTATGTGTATATTTTTGAAAGCTTATTTGAAAATATTATCGTTCGATCTATCATAAAAGAATTATATAACTGCAGTTGCGTGAGTGTTCAGTGATTCATAAGGTAAATATATATATGTATATCTATATATATACATATGTATATGTCTATATCATAGTTTTAAGTGTGTCTCTAACAGCTCTGAAGGTATTCAGGTTCGTTTCGCATTTACATGCATTGTTTGTCGATTGTTTTGGGTAGAAATACTTTGGTTTTTTTTATTTGTTTTTGCTTGCTGCATGGAACCGCTAGTCGAGCAGCGGTTCATTTTCCGAATCGGAATCTAACATTTTCCAGACCATGCGCCTGACGTTTCAGACTGCCGCTGTCGGCCCAGGGGGAGTTGAGATACTCGTCGTCATCGTCTTGCTCAAGTTTCTGAAATTAAACCAAATAAAGAAAGTGAATGGAAAGCACTCTGTGAATTAATTTTAGCGGCTTTTATATATACGGCTCATGAGCCGAACCAATTCATTTAGTATTAAGTGAACCAGTTTAAACACGAGCCTTTTAAGTGATCTGCAGAACCTGTTCTATGAACCCTATCATTGAATATACGAAAAATTGACCATAAACGAAATCGAACCATGAACAAAACAAAATAGTTTCATGATTCAAAACATGAGCATTCAACTATTTTCATTAAACAAATTTGTAAATATATCCATTAGCCTAGTCTTACCCTTGCACTGAGTTAGATGTTGAGAGGACGCCATTTTCTAGCGAATCTCTAGACAATTCATCGGCCATTTGCACCTTCAGCTGATGGCCGAACGAATTGATCTCCGAGTTGGGCGTCATTTGTGAGCCCGCTGGAGACTGGGCGATGTAGTGGCCGGATTGAGTGGTTATCGAGCCACCCTGGGATATGCACCTGGTCATGCCGGGCCCACCATTGGGCAGGACACCCTCCAGGCAGCTATCATTGGTCGTGGAGTCCATGTTAACAATCTGACTGCCAGCTGCATTGTCAGCCAGAACTGCTCCATCGCTATCATCAACAGCATCGATATCATCGATGTCCATGTCCTCGGCGTTCTTGTCGAGCGGCGCCGTCTCCTCATCCTCATTGTAGATCTTAAAGTAGGCATAGGTCAGATAGATGACCGAAATGATGAACGATGGAATGGGTATGGCCATCGAGTAGACCAAGTTTAGCGTATTCTGCCAATAGTCCAGATCGCTGATCACCAAACTGGGATCCACCTTCGAGTAATAGCAAGGAAACTTAATTCCGATCCTCATATAGCGCTTTAGCCAAATTGTACAGTTCAGCATGGGCGGATAGCCACAGCCCTTGACATTGGGAAACAACCGGGCACCCACATAGTAGTAGGTCGAATTGAGGCCCATGAGTCCCTCGTTCAGCTCAGAGATCTCGTCGAAGGGGCGTCGCTCGCCAGTGATCATTGTGTTCACAGCATCATCTGTATCCGATTCCGAATCCTCTATCAAATAGCCATTGGAGCCATCGGCATCCCCGAACTTCATCTGCTCGAATTGATTCGTGGCCATGGAACCGGTGCTGTCCACATCCATGTCAATGCTATTCCCAACCAGACCATCGTACTCGTAGTCCCTCAACGCACGCTCGTAGCGATCCGTGCGCTTCACAGGCGGCAGAATACGTTCGGCTTCACGTAAATTGATGTGATATTCCGTGAAGTTGAACTCGTCCGTGAAATTGTAGAGATTGAGGCGATAATTGACGCGAATCTGTGTGCACGTGTAGATGTCCTTGGTGCAGCCCTCACGGCACGACGACCACGAGCAGTTCTTGGCTCCAAAATAGATTTCCGTATCGTAGGTCTCACACAGCGCCGGCACCTCCTCGAACTGCATGAAGATCGTCGTGAAGGCCGGCTCAATCACGAACGGAACCAGAAACAGAAACGCGAACAGGCTAAACGTGCCGAGGAGTATGAAAAATGCCGTCGTATAGAAGAGCAGCTTCTCCTTGGTGGTGCGTTTCTCGTGCTCATCTCCCATACTGTGGCTGTTTCAATCGATTAATCGCTATCGATATCCGGTCTAGTTACACTCAAATGGCGCAAGGTCTGGCGGGGCAGGCAGGCAGCAAAAAGTTATTGGAGCGCGAGAGAGGGGGGCAGGCAGGCAGGCAAAGTGTGTGATGTATAATTATATATATTTACTATATATATATTTACTTAATTACTTCTAATTATTTGTATAGATTTATTTTAATTACTGAGTGCACGCGCAGTCAGCTTCAATCCAAGTGTAGCCGGGCGCTGCTTAGCTTAAGCTATTTATCGATTAACGATAACTATGAGCTACTATTTAAACGGTTACAACTACGGTGCAGTTATATCACAGGGCGAGTCGAGTACGTGTTACGTTTTTGCTTTTGCTTTTTCAGTTGCTGTCGTTGCCTCTCCATTGCTTCCTCTTCAGCTCTCATCACAGCAGTAGCCACCGCTGAGCAGGTGGAGCAGCAGCAGCATTTTGCCTGCAATATTTGTTGTTGTTGCTCTTGATATTGTTCTTGGTGTTGTTGTTATTGTTGTGCGCAATTAGTCTAAATACAATCCAGGGATGCGACACAGCACGCATGTTAGCCGTCATTGGACACTCTGCAAATCCTGACCAGCGGCCCACACAGAGGCTCACACACACACGCACACTATTACACTTGCCTTGGCTGTCTATGTGTATGTGTGTGCTGTCAACCTTTGCTAATTGCTTTATGCGTCCCAGCGGAGATGTTTCGTCAGCAGCATTCGACGTTGCAGTCGTTTTGCTGCTCTGCTTTGCTTTGACAGCAGCAGCTCCTCGCCTCTATCTTCTGCTCTACCCTTTCCTCTTTGACTTTGCTTGATTATTTTATGACTGCGGCAAAAGGCTGCGCATATGTGTACGTGCGGGCGTCTGTGTGTGTGTGTTCGTTTACGCGTGTATAGGTGTGTGTGTGTGTGTGTGTGTTTGCCTATGCCCAATTTTGAGTAACGGCTTCTCACTCTGCTTGCTGTTGTTGTAGTCGCTGCTTAGCTTTTAGCTATTTAGTTCATTTGTTGTTGCTTTTGTTTTGTTGCTTTTCATTTGGAGCAAAATAAAATAATGCTGGACGGACAAATGTTGTTTTTTCTTCTGCAATTATTTTACTTATTTCCTCCTTCGCCTTTTTTCTTCATTTAATTCACTGCGCTCTTCGCTCTGTGCTTTGTCCTTTGCGCTTTCTCACACTATTCGTGCGGCCACGTGCAGCTGAAACACTGTGCGTCGCAAGCATTTGCTAAAGGGGGTTGAGTTCAAAATGCCGTTAGACGCGTACATGCTTAATTTACACTTGTAAAAATGCTTTAAAAATAGTTCGTTCGTTTGTTCTTCTTCTTGTATTTTTTTTTTATATTAAACGCGTTGGCATTTTCATTGGCTTGTTATTTTTATGTAACCACGATTGTGTGCATAACTACACAGAAATACATATTTATACATATTTATAAATATATATATGTATAAATGTCTGTGTGTGAATGTACATTTAAATGTGCTTGTTATTCTTAGCGGTACTGTTGACTGAAGTTTACAGGGGCACAGCACTGCGACGCTCGTGTCCCGTTGTATTACGAAACGGAAATATGCCGCCGAGCAGCAGCAGCAGCAGCTGCTGCAGGCGAGGCCATAGTGTGGGTAAGAAGAGTGAGGAAGGTAAGGAAAGCAGGTGTTGCCAACAACTGGCGACAATGAGCTCACATGGGCGGCACTAATAACACTACTTCAATGGAGTTGCCTGTAGCTCTCCAGAAACAGTGTCGTCTGCATAGGTTGAGTGGGGTGTGTAAAAAACTACATATGTATATAAAAATTGGAGCCGCATGTAATTTTCAATTCATTTGGCACGCAGGCCAGAGAGTGAATGGGATAGAGATAGAGTAAGAGAAAGAGGGATACGGAGACGGAGAGAGGTGGCGACACCATGCCAAACAATATTATGCGGCATGGCAGTGACTCGTTGAGCGAGCGGGGCACATGGCGAGTGGGGGGCGCCTTGGCGACTCCTCGTGCTTTGCACGAAACGATTTTTCATTTGCGTTTTGTGATTCAATTCGAGCCCAGCCAAAAAAAAAACAGGCAAGCAGGCAAGCAAATGGGCAACCGATTAAAATGGTGGCCGAGAGAAAGTCGAGTGTGGTTTGGTTAATTCTGTTCTTTTATGACAAACATTGCCCAATGACATTGTTGTGGTTAACACATTAAGCCACGAGTGTCTCGCTTGGCCAGTGGCCACTGTGACGTCGCACGCACTCACACAGTGACACACAGCAGTGGAGTGTGCGTGTGTAGCTGTTTACTCAAGGTTCAGGTTACGGTTACGCATTTTCAATCAGCAGAAAACAAACGGAACCTGAGCTCATTTACAGTATTTCGAAACAATTTTTAATGACCTGATTGCGCGTACGGGTCAAAAGTTCAAAATACAAAAAAAGAAAACAACGCACACAAACACACACAAACACGAATACTCAAGCATATTCACTTTTTGTCATTTTCGCTAGAGCCTCGGACCGACCGACAAAGAGGCGACAGCAATAAATGGCAGAGACAACGAGACAAGCGACAACGACGACGGCTGAACTCTTCACCGAAAGGACTGCCACTGCTGGCGTCGCTGCAGCTGAACGCTGGCTGAGCTCTAGCACGAGCTGAGCTTTTGTGCTGCGCTACACAAGCACACTCATACACCCACAAACACACTCACTGAGAAGGCGTGCGGCATGCGCGACAGCTGGCAAGCTTTGCAGCCGCCGAGCCAAACAATTCGTAGAGGCTTAGCGAGAATCGTTGCCAGCCTAACATCAAAGCTCTCTCTCTCTCTCTCTCTCATATGTAAAGCTTGCAGCAGTAGCAGTAGCAGCAGCAGCAGCAGCAACAGTGGCGACCACCCCAATGGATGACGTAAAGACAGGCACGGCCAGGCGCATGCGCCCGCCCAGCGACAGCTGCTCTCTCGATTGGAAGAAATGTCAGAATATTTTTGTGGCGTAAACAGCAGGGAGAAAATGTGAGCCGCGAGCCGTGCACGTCGCACTGAAAGTATTCATCTGTTTGGAAAATCACTAAGGAAAATTGTCGAATCAAATCAAATTTGCTGCCTTACAATAAATAAGAAACAACAAAACTGCGTTCAAAGTTAACAAACTTATATTAAGCAATATTAAAATAATAAAAATTGTGCTGCATTTCCATTATGAAACGCCTTTACGTATGCGTGTGTATGTGCTTGTGAGTTGTATGTGTTCGTGTGTCGCATGTGCTCCTTTCAGTGTGTCCGCCAGCGTGTGTGTGTGTGAACGTAAATAAACCTCAATACATGGAACACCCACAACTTTTTACATGTGAGTAACGAATCATATTCTAAGAAATAAAAGAACTGAAAGAACAAAAAGAAATGAAAGTAGAAGAAAATGCAATCGACCTTCTTTTTGATATGCAAGAAGTGTTGCCTACTTAGCAGCGCATTCGACGTTTTACCCAAACAATAAGCAACATCGCCTCAATCAAACATTTGTGAAGTTCCTCAATAACAGTTGCCATTGATTATTCAATGGAGAACAGTTGGAAAAACGGAAGGAAAACATATTATTGTGAATATTTTATAGACAGCTAAGCTAACAGCTGGACTATTAGTTGTCACTTTAGCTGGTAAGTCAACAAAGGAAGGCCCTCTCAAAGGCAAGCGGAAGGGCAAAGGATATTATTCCCCATAGAGTGTGTTAAATCAATTTTGTAAAAGCTTTTATGCTCGACAAGTCGTTGGCCAAGTGCTAAATTAAAATTATAAATAGGCTATAAACTGTGAGTAAATTTAATCAAATTGCATGTGTTACAGTGTGCGTCATATAGAACAGTTTTTTATAGAATAAATAAAGGGGGGTTTTCCTTTTAAGATATATATAAATATAAGTGTATATATAGATACTCATATTCAATATAGATAGATATATTTTAAATACGCCTTTAAGTGACCGTTAAGCTAAAATGAATAGCAAGTTATTTATAGTTTAACGTTTATTTCCAAAGAAATGTCAGTAAGCAAACAAATCCCACTCATTCAAATTTACCGCCCATCGTATAGCAACTTTGCAGCAAGTTGGCAGCCCTATGCTTTTTTATTTATTAGCAGGGTTGCTTTCACTAAGATAACAATATATCGATAGTTTTAACAACAATCGCAAGTCAGCTAAAAAGAAATATTTAACAAAGCCAACAAGTGAAATTTGCAATTAAAGCCGTAAATTTGCCGTCACTTTGCACAAATTGAACTGCCCAACAAATATTGAAGCATGGGCGCCGCCGTACTGCCTATTCTATTCTTTACCTCTCTGTGGGCCGCCGTTGGCATTGGCGGCTCGATCATTACGCCCCATGGACCCCAAAGGCAACTGATTCAATGCATCCTAATGCTAACCGCCGGCTGCTGTTGGCTTTTCTGGCTGTGCTGCTACATGGCACAAATGAATCCACTCATCGGACCGAGACTCAGTCGGCGTGCTATACAGATCATAGCCGACTCCTGGAATATGCCCATCAAGGAGGGCTAACGAAGGGAGGATCATATGGAGCAGGAGGAGTAGCATGAATAATCGTATTAAATCTCTAATCTTTTTATATATACATTAATTATACTACATTTGTTAATATTGTGCATTCCAGCGCAAATTGTAGAGTAAATATATAAATATATTTATACACAATGTAAACACACATTAATAGAGTCGAACGTCACAAACGCCCACCTCGCTGACCCTGCCCTGCATTCAGCCGAGAGGCCGTGAGCAGATGGAGGCGTGGCATGTGTTTCAGTCACGCTTCAGCTTAATCAATGAAAGCAGCAGCTGGCAGCGGTAAGAGGCAAAGGGCGAGTGCAACGCAAGAGATGGTCAGGAGAGAGCGTAAGGGCTTTGGAATGCGGATTATTGATTTCTTGTTTGTTAATAGAAAATGCGCGCGCAGCGCTTTGATTTGTTGAAAGAGCCTGAGAGAGAGATAGATGAGAGCAAGGCTGAAACTGGCGGCATGTTGTCGGCGGTCAGGATGGCGACGACGGCAATTGAGAGAAAATACGAACTGCACTAGCAGCAGCAGCAGCAGCGATTCAGTGCGAAAAGTGTGCAAAGCGAAGCGAGGCGAGGTTCCCAAAAGGCAGCAGCAGAAATTAATAAAAGGAAAAAAAGCCAAAGCAATGCCACAGCTGCTACAACTAAAATCGAATATTAGCAAAAAGCATAAACTATCTGTTCAATAGTTAATTACTAATAATTAAGTTGTTAATCTAGCTACGAGTTACAGTTAAAAAAAAAAAAAAAAAAAAAAAAAAAGAGAAACGAAAGTTTTTCGCACAAAACTTTTATGTCACTAAAATCGATAATAGATTCAAATTGTGTAAAATTTAAGCGAGCTGCAGGAAAAAAGATTAGTAAAGACATAAAAAACAAGCGCATTACACACGAGCTTTAAATCTGGTTATATAACGGACACACACACAGCGAAGGCGAATCGATAGGACACGCCAAGATGAAGCGCAACTAATTGGCCAAGCACGCGAGGCATTAGCATAAGCGAGAGTAAAAGAGAGCGAACGAGCGGGCGAGCGAGAGCGAGAGAGAGAGAGGGATAGATAGTGTGACAACATTCTGGCCGAGATTAACGTAGAGTAAAGCGCAGCTACAGTCATGGGCAAAAAGAAAGTGCCCAGCGAGGATCTAATTGTGCCGCCACAGGACAATCGCATCTGTGGCACAATTTGCATATGCCAAATGACGCTCGTCCTCAGCTCCGTGGCGTTGGTCTATCTGACCGTAGCCATCTATATGCCGTCGACGCGTGCCTTCAAGAGCGGCATCGATCCGACGCCCGTCATGTGCACCACCACGCGAGCCGTCAACAAGGAGGGCTGCGAGTGGGGCAGCTGCGGCGAGTGGTGTCTGAGCAAAACCTCCGGCGCCTGCATTCAGATCTATGTGAACCTGCGCAGCAACGGCACGAACCTCACGTTCCAGAACTGCACGAACTCGGCGAACAAGACGTGCTACGGCATCGATCAGGATCGCGCGGACAAGGCGCGCTGCATCAACGACGAGTGCAAGAATCTCACTGGCACCTTCAACTGCACCGCCGGGCAGTGCTTGAACATAACGGACGCCTTTGAGTGTGTGTTCCACAACAGCGATGCTCCGGTCAAGTGCTCCGGGCGACGTGGCAAGATCAACTGCATGGACATCAGCGGCTTGTTCTCGTGCAGCCGCGGCACCTGCCGCAAGATACGCACGCCCTACAACTGCGATAGACGCTGCGTGGATATACCCACCCGGAATAAGAACGTGGTGGTGCTCAGCGGGGACAAGGTTTACCTATCGCAGTGCCAGAATGCCATCAATGCGGAGACCTTGGAGGAGGTGTGGAATGAGTCGAGCGACAACGTGGCCATGACATCGTGCTACTTCATCAAGAACACCTCGGATCGAGTGGATGCCGTAGACTGCATCAACGGATCGACGCTGGAGCACAATATGCTTAGTGACTTGACCAATTTTACATATCTCAGTCATTTGCATGTGTCGGTGGCGACGCCGGTGCCGGAGATAGCTCCGCCCGACGTCGACTTAACCATATCGAATGAATCGAAGCTGATGATCAATTTGGAGGGATGTGTGAACACGCTGATGGATGAGTGCAAGGAGTTCCTGAAGGTGTTCGGCCGGGATGGCAGCGATCACAATGCCCGCGCACGCTTCCCCTGCTTCTATTCGCCATCGAAGAAGGATATTGTTGTGGCCCGGTTCGATCTGGAGGTCACCTATCGCCAGTTCGTGTTCGCGTCGGTGGTGCCGTCGGTGCTGTTCGTGGTATCCTGCTCGGTGCTGCTGCTATGCCAGCGCACCGTCTATGTCGGCGACGATGCCAAGATGCGCTTCAAGGGCTGCGTCGACACGGACACCATTCTGTCCAAGAACAACGTCGGCGCACCGACCAACGGTGACATGGGTGGAGGCGGTGGCGATGAAGTCATGGCCCTATGAGATCCGTCACGTAAGCTTAACATAAAGAGCCTCTTCCAACTAGGGTAAACACACACACTTAGGCCCACTGTGCTACGTCGGAAAATTGCATTGCTTAATTGACAAACGATGGGTAAATCGAATGAACTGTTACTTGTTCACCTCGTAGTGGATCCAACTCTAGGCGAAACACTATAGCGAGCCTGTGCGCAAGTAGCGTTAAAATGTTTAGTTAATTTAGACTTAGGCGCAATCTCACAAACATAGAAATCCTAGGTTTAAAGTCCTATCAAACACTCTTACAAAAATAATTTCCCAATAATGTCGTACTATTCCTTTCTCAAGATGTTTTCAAATCTGCTTAAAGCAAAATCGGATACCATCTTTCATAAACACTCCCCCTACCCCTCACTCCAACCTACTTTAATATGGAATAACATATAAGAACTCTTAGATCAAAGCTTTAAAAACCTTTCTTGGATTTGCTCTTCAAATCGTCTCTCTTCTATATCTTTGCAGGCATTCCTCTGCTCCAGGAAGACAGTCCGGTTCATCAGACTGGCGTCTTCGCATTGCAATAAATGGAGTTGGGCATAGTAAACAATCGAGTAACACTTTGTAATCCTTCCATCGAACTACTAACAGACCACACACCTGAGCGCAGCTTGCTAAAGGACACTCCTGAGCTAACAGCAAACACAAAAACGAAACGAAAAACTATATAAAAACTCTATACATATAGAGTGATATCTATATACACCACATGCGAGGCACGTGAACAATTCTCGAGTTACGAACACAAAGAACCGAAGAAGAGAGGACAATATTAGTATAATTTCTATATTTGAATTCGATTTTCTATTTATTTTTGGGATAGGCTAGAGAGGCGCGCCATCTACTGAGAGTAATTAGCGTTGGGCATGGCCTGGTTGATTGATTGATGCTTTAACTTTAAGTTAAGTAAAGAAGAAGAAAACTAACAAGAACATCTATAGGGAATACCTTCAATGCACTCACATACACAAGCACCCAAACACACACACTCACACAGATACTCACACACACTCACAGAGGGAACTAGAATCAGCCCTTAGGAGCAGGCAAACAAAATTCAGCAAATGGTCAAACGGTTTGGAGGGATGCGTGATCAAAACTAAGAAGATTTATGAAATAACAAAATGAAGAAGAAGTTAACCTTAAACTAAATTAAATACATAAAAAAAAATAAATAAATTTAGATAAAAATTAACAAATCCAACGCAATTTTAACAAAAAATAAAAAGAAAACTTAGATTAAACCCAAAAAATAAATAAAATATCCATTTCGAAAGACGAAAAGGCGCAGCAGAGAGAAACTTGAGGAAAATTGGAAATCGAGAAGCAGAGCGCAGAGAAGAAAAATCTCTTGGCAAAAAGTTGTTTATTGTTGTAGGCTTAGCGAGCAGCAAACGTTAGCGGTGTTCATTTTTAAGGCTTTTAGAGATAGAAAACACAAAAAATAGAAGAAAACTTTTATCCACACACACACACACACATACAGACAGACAAACATAAGCAACCATGAAGAAGAGCTCCACATTGACGACCACCACATCGATGCTAACGTCTCCGACGCAGTCGGCACAAACGCTCTCGGCCAGCAAAATGAGCCTGAGCAGCAGCCGTTCGGGCCGATCCTCGTGTCAATCACATGGACCCGTTAGACCAGGCAGCGGATGCGTCGATGCGATTAAGGCCAAGCGAGAGGAGATCGAAATCGATACCATACTCGAGAAGGCGAAGTTCTACACCTCCGTGTGCCTTGGTAAGTTGTTCTTTCCTTTTACTAATGTAATCCTCGATTCTCTTTCCCTTCCTTCCGTTGCTCGTCTATTCTTGTACTTCCTTCCGATGTCCTTTCTACTATTGTATTTCCTTCCGTTGTTCTTCCTTCCGTTGTACTTCGTTCACTTATCTTTCCTATTTTCTTGTTCCTTCATACCTAAACTAATTCATATTCTCTCCTTCTCTTTAGGTACGACTGCCATTTTGTCGGTGTTCACATTTCTCTTCCTGATACCCTTTGTTGTGGATCCCGCAATTTCAACAATCATTGCCGACTACGATCCGGTGCCGGTGACCTGCGTTGTCATCGATCACATCTACGCGGAGGGCATCAAGAATTGCAGCTGGAGTTCGTGTCGCGAGGGCTGCACCTCATCACTCACCAAGTAAGTAGCTTAATCACCATATATACATATATTTGATTCTTGATCAAATCTTCCATTCGACCAGGTGCCATCAGTTGTATGTCAACTATACGCGAATACCCTTTAGCGAATGGGAGCGCAATCCTCGAGACTTGGAGCGCGTCAATTGGGACGTTAGCTACACAAAGTTTTTAATCAACTCCGAGGGTTGCGGCTATCCACCGACAACCAATTGTAGCGTTTTCGCCAGACAATATGGGTACGTTAACCTTCAGCTATATGCCTCCCTAGAGACTAATTCATTCTTCTATTAACATCAGCTTCAATCACATTGGCGAGCCTTTTCCCTGCTACTATAGTCGCGCCTATCCGGAAGTGGTCATCGGGCGTTACTCATGGGAGAATAACCTGTACCATCTGGTGCTCTCGCTGATTATACCAAATGTTCTATTTGCCATTTCAATTGGTGTCTTGAGCTATTGGTATTGCCCCTGCTGTGAGAAGGCGTGCAATAAGTCCTCGCGTGTTTACGCCGAAAAGTTTCCAACCAAGGAAGAGTGAGTCTCATTTAAACCAAACAGACAAAATCCCTGTATTGTATTGTAGTAATACCCCTAACACACTCTCACACATCCATAAATTTATATAATAATCCATTGTGCCTTGTATTTGGAACTGTCAAAAGTTATCGTTATCGTTATCGATTGTACATGTTAAACCTTACTGTATTGGCCGCTATAACCCTAACTTATCCTAAGTTTGTGAAACAACTGTAAGACTCGTTTACCCAATTTTGTGTTCCCCATTCACCGATTTTTTCATGCCTTTTACGTGTTTCTTTCTTTTCTCTCTCCTTCTCTTTCTTTCTTTTCTCTTTGTTAAATTATTTACAGGATCGTTAACTGCATGAAATGTAATACGGAAAAGTCCTTAACTTTGAATGTATTTTGAATAACTAAAAGCGACAGTGCCTGAATTTTGAAAATGAAATTGAAGTAGGACTCTACAAAAACCATAAATCTAAGAAAAAGCTCTATGTAACCAAAAACAAATCTCAGCACGCTCAGTACACCCAATGCAAATAGCAAAAGTAAAAGCAAAAACTCTTTCAAAAAGTTACTCTGAAGTGTCCTTAGCAAATATATTTTCTGGTTAATCTCAGCTTCAAGCTAAGCCACCATATTGTAAGAACATTACCTATCATACTACACCTCAAGGGCGTTTAGTTAGACCCATTTTGTCAACTCTCTACAAGACTTTTTCTTCTAAACTAACAGAGCACAAAACAGAAAAATGCATATTGTTGACTTTAATATATGTATACATACATATTTATGTATCTATAGATATATGTCTATATATATATATTCAAAATATGTTTCACATACTTTCAAGTATTACCTAAAATAAAAGAAATTCTGCAGTCCACTAGTTTGTGAAACAACTGTAAGACTCGTTTACCCAATTTTGTGTTCCCCATTCACCGATTTTTTCATGCCTTTTACGTGTTTCTTTCTTTTCTCTCTCCTTCTCTTTCTTTCTTTTCTCTTTGTTAAATTATTTACAGGATCGTTAACTGCATGAAATGTAATACGGAAAAGTCCTTAACTTTGAATGTATTTTGAATAACTAAAAGCGACAGTGCCTGAATTTTGAAAATGAAATTGAAGTAGGACTCTACAAAAACCATAAATCTAAGAAAAAGCTCTATGTAACCAAAAACAAATCTCAGCACGCTCAGTACACCCAATGCAAATAGCAAAAGTAAAAGCAAAAACTCTTTCAAAAAGTTACTCTGAAGTGTCCTTAGCAAATATATTTTCTGGTTAATCTCAGCTTCAAGCTAAGCCACCATATTGTAAGAACATTACCTATCATACTACACCTCAAGGGCGTTTAGTTAGACCCATTTTGTCAACTCTCTACAAGACTTTTTCTTCTAAACTAACAGAGCACAAAACAGAAAAATGCATATTGTTGACTTTAATATATGTATACATACATATTTATGTATCCATAGATATATGTCTATATATATATTCAAAATATGTTTCACATACTTTCAAGTATTACCTAAAATAAAAGAAATTCTGCACTAGTCCAGGCTTAAAATAATATTCACTATACAAAGCTCAGTTTAAATTCGACGAACAAAAAAGTAAACGAAATTTAAATTTATATATAAAAATTGTAGTTCAAAATATTAAAGTATATATACAAGCATGATTTAGTAATATATTTGCTAGTTCTATGTCTATCATTTATGCATGTTTTACTTTTAGCTAAATACACTCGGAGAAAATATCCCTCAAATGAGCAGCAAAATGTTTGAAATTAACTCTAATTCCTGAGCTCAAGCTTTAGTCTTTTAGTTTTTTTTTTTTTTTTTTTTTTTTTTTTTTTTTGTGGATTAATCTAAATTGAGTTATTTAGTTAGAAATTGGCATTGAAAAAGAAAAAGGTTTAGATCTAAGATTTAAATTTTACACTATTTAAGTAGTTTAAAATGTTTCAAAATTTCTTGCGTCTTTTAATAGCTTTACTTGAAGGTTTTTAAATATTTGCATAAAATAGAATTTTCCAGCCTAGAAAAGCTTTAAAAGTTTATAAGATTGATATACGTTTAGACGAAAACAAAGGCTCTAGAACCAAGTTGCTTAGTTAGATATATTTCGATAGGAAAATTATGTCCGCTGCCATTTTCTCTGAGTGTACCTATCATAGGCCTACCACACACACATATTTAGAACCAACCCTCTGGCATGTTTTAACTTATTTGTTAACTGAATCAATCTAGCATTTGATCTATATAGCTTTACGATTCCAATCGATTCTTTTAGCAAACTTCTGTGTCACAGTGATGAAGATGATGAAATGGAATACTAGCAAAAATAATACAAATTAGTTAAACAAAACCAACAAAAGAAACTCCTTAAACAAATAGCTAATTAACTATGTAGTCTATACCAATACACACACACGGACAAATACAGACATACAAATAGCTTATATACATATACTATAATAAAAAGAGAAAAACCATCTGCCATTATTATATAGGACACCTTTACTTATAGCGGAGCATTAACAAACCCAAAAAAAAATTTTCTAACTAATTTTGTTAAAAACTTTTCAATTTGTAGAACTTGATATGCTTTATATATATATACTATATAAGAAATCTTTGACTAGTATTTGAGTTTTAAGAAATTTTCGCTTATTTTTTGTAACGCTTCTCGATGCTCCCCCATTTCCATAATATATACATATATATATAGATCCATTAGATAAAACTCAAATTTCTACACAAAAATAAATAAGATGCTTGTTTTCAAAAAAGAATTGTGATAGTAGTCATAAAAAATAACAAAAATAAAAAAAGAAAAAGAAAAATTAAGTAAAAGAAATTCGTAAAACCGTAAAAATCAAATGATTGTAAACCTAGCTAAAACAAACTGGGATTAGAGTTCTATATGTTAGAGCTACATAAATTCAGACACACACCACAGAAATCGGAACCAAATATATATGACATATATATATATATGTATATGTATATTCCACAATCATTCAAATTCACAATTTGCGAAATTTTGAAATAGTTTTAAAAAACTTATGTAAAAAACAAAAAACAAACAATATAATAATGAAACACTTAATGGAAATATATAACAAATATATATATACATACATCTATATATATACATATGTATATATATATTTAACATATATATATAGCTTAATAGCAGTACCGATATATAACGCACGTTGCTTATGAGAATTTTTTAAAATCAAACCAATAAAAAAACAAAAGCAAAAAATCCGACAAATATTTCAAAAAACATTTTTTACTTAACGTGTCTTTATCAAATAAACAAATTTAATAAAACAAAAAAAGCTAACGGCCTAATTACAAATAAACAAATTAACTAAAAAACCCATAAAGAGAGACTTTTATTTGAAGAGAGTGAGAGAGAGAAAGTCGAAGAGAGTGAGAGCAAAAGCTTTTGCTCTGCGCAGGCGTTGGGGTTAGGGAGGGCGGTGGGCCAAGGGTTTGTTTTGGCATACTTGTACTTTCGATTTCGTTTCGAAAGTAAAAGTATGCTTTCAGCAGCCCTGGCTAAAAAACAGGACAACGCCAGGACGAACAGGCACAGACACAGGCACAGGCACGGGCACGGCCTCTGCTTCAGTCAGTTGCAAGCGAGCGGTCAATAGCAGCGCACAGAACTCTTTGGCACTTGTTGTGTTGTGTTGGGCCCCGCCACAAGTCACAGCAAAAGCGCAGCAAAGGGGCGTTAAAGAAAAGGGAGGAGGAAAGAGCATTCACAGCAAGTGCAAAAGTTGGCCAAAACAAACGCAACTCAAATAGTTCCCACAACAAACAAACAGTTGGCCGACAAATAAAACAAATAGCTGCAAATCAAACAGAAACTGAAACGGAAACAGCGACGGCAACAGAAGACGAAACCACCCTCAACCCAGTCACCTTGAAAAGGATATATATAGGGTAAAGTGTCAAGAAAAGAAAAGGTTGTAAGTTGAGTTCCTTTCGAATTCAACAAGTCCTACCTAACCCATAGCCATGGCTCGGCGCAAGGACAAGCCGCGCCTTATACCCGAGCAGGACAAGCGCATCTGTCGCGCCATTTGCCTGTGCCAGCTGACCATGGTGATGTCCTGCGTCTCCATTGTCTACCTCAGTGTGGCCATTTACTCGCCCTCGCTTAAGTGAGTAAACCACTCTTCGCTCCTCTTTCTCTATGCCTATATATTCTTTCCACTATAGAGCCTTCAAGTCAGGCTTTGAGCTGGATCCGGTCATGTGCCAAACAGTCGATCGTCAAATGCCCAACAACTGCCCCTGGGCTTCGTGTGGCGAGTGGTGCTTAACACGCACCAGCGGCTTTTGTCCACAAATACACTCGGTGGTGCGACGCAATGGCACAGATATACAGCTCAACAATTGCACCAGGGTGACCAATACTTCATGTGCTGCGGTAAGTGGAGGAGTATCAAATATGCAAGGACTGACATGGGAGTGGTTTCCAGCTCTTGGGGAAATGAGTAGCAGAGCCATCAACAGGGGAAAGGGAATACCTTCTATAAAAATGAGAATAGGACGTTTGAAAATAAGAGGATGTATAATATCGCAGAGTTTTTACAAAAGTCATTATAAAATATAATATTTTACATATGAAGACCTTTAATTCCCTGAATGATCCTGGAATCACTGTAAAATGTATCTCAAGCTTTCTATATGATTTCCTTACGAAGTTTTAATAACTGCAAAGTTTAAGTCAGAAAATCATAATGATAAGCCATACTCATAATAGAGTCTGAAGAGTAGAGTAGAAATTCTCAAATGAATTCCTTTCGTTTATTTGTAGAGATTGAATCACTTTTGAAAATGTAAATCCAAGTGTGAATCATAGCTAATTTAAAGCATTTAAATCGTTTCTTTAATAGCTCTATGCCTTCATTAAGTTAGAAGCGTAAAATAAATCGAACGAAAACGTCATTTCCTTGAGAAAGCTGAACCACTGCGTAGTTTTAGCCATCAATAAAAGAAATTCGCAAATAAATGGATGACTCAGAGCCCGCCAATCCAATGTGAAGGCAAATATACGTCAGAAGTATTTGCAGCATTTGTCCGGCGCCAAGGCGTCTTTACGATCCATTAACGGAAATGTACATGCAAACATCTAATCTTTTTACTACATCTTCCTCTTTCCTCTGTCGCTCGCAGATTGACCTGAATCGCTTGAACAAGTTCAACTGCAACAATGGCACCGTCTGCAACAACATTCGTGGCGTATTCAATTGCTCGAATGGTGAGTACTTAAATATAATCTTACTTTCGATATAAGAGATTATATACATGTATTTTATAGTTGTATGTCCCATATAGTATTAAGCTTAGACTCTGAAGGGATTCTTAACCAATCTTTAAACTTCTCTTCAATTTCTTATTAAATTCTATTTCACTTCTGTTCAACTAAGTATTTCTTCACATATTTTCATCTTCATCTCTGCTTCTTTCATCAGGTCACTGCAAGAACATGTCGGAGTTCTTTTTGTGCCACCACAAGCCCGATGGGCCAGTAATTAACTCTGCCAAGGACAATACCAAGTTGAATGGCTTCTTCGAGTGCCATGGCGTGCACTGCACGAAGATCAAGCGACCCTTCAGCTGCGATCGCTATTGCTCCCGCATAACCACAGCCAATATCAATACGCTGATCATGCACGTAAGTACCTCTCTCTCTCTCTAAATGTCTCCGATTATAAATCTCCTTGACTATTCGCCCGTACAGGAGGACAATGTAATTGCTGCCGACTGTGAGAACGCGGTGGCCTTCAATGAGGCACGCGGCAAGGAGCATGGCGTACGCATTGAACCCACCGAATTCTGGAAGGAGGAGGACGGCAATCTGTTGACCAATTGTGCAACAGTTACGCGCGAATCCGACAATCGCATAACGTAATTAAAATCTAGAATCGAATTGCAAGAAACTTCATTGAAATGCATTTCCATTAGCGCCACGGACTGCTTGAATGGCACCTTGCTGGATCATGAGACCCTGCCGGCTCCCTATATGAATTTTACCCAGTTCTGGGCCATCTATGACAACAGCACACGAGCCGTTGATCCAGAGCAAAAGTTTCTGCCCAATCAGGCGAATCTAACCATTTACAGCTGGAAGAAACTGTTCATCAATCTGGAGGGTTGCGTCAATACACTCAAAGGGGAGTGCAAGGACTTCGTGGCCCGCTATGGCAACGATGGCGATAATAACACAGCTCAGTCACGCTATCAATGCTACTACAACAAGGTAACCAAGGAGCTGGCCAACCAGCCAAGGTGGGGGATCAGGTTTCAGTTCAGCGTAGCAGGTGCATAAGAAATATTTACAGCAGGTGTGGCTAAGGCCACTGACCATGCAATGGCGAAGCGGATACCAACAAATGGGGTAGTATAGGGTTGTCGGGTGTATGTAGCAAATGAGGATAAAATAACTCTTCGATAGAGAATGAAATAACAGGCAGGGCCCCAAAGTTCCCATATAAAAATCTGTGAGAAACTTAAGAGAGTATTTGCCAGTCCATCAGTCTAAACATTTTCAACGATTTCTCTTCCAGGATGCAAATGTTGAGTTTGTAGTTGCACGCTACGATCTAGATAAGGTCTATCGTGAGCTGCTCGTCTCGCTGATTGTGCCAATCGTGCTCTTTGTAATCTCATCCATTTCGCTGTGCGTGATAACAAAGTCCGTCAAGGTGAGCGAGCATTACAGATGCAATAGTGGAGCGCATTAAATACTCTTCCCATGCAGGTGGGTGACGATGCGAAGATGCGTTGCGTTTGCGCTGGCGAGAACTCGGATGATGATGGCTTTGGCAATGCAGCCGCCAATCAACCGGAACAAGTTTACGACACAGATGACGATGTGGTTGAAATAGACCAACAACAAGTGGTTGAGGTGGAGGTGGTGCAGGTGCCTGAACAGCAGCAGTTGCCATACGATACACCCGAGATGATTGGCAGCACCAAATCCTTGATACCGCTAAGCCCAACTGCCGGCCCCACCGAACAGCATTTCACTGAAGATCAGGACGAAAAGGCGAGCAAATGTGATGTGCCCGAAAAGCCGCTAGTTATACTCTAAATGCATACAGTCCAAGTCTATATATGTATGTAGTCGAAGGTTAGCTATAAAGTGAGCTCAGGATATATACGACGTTGAAAATCGAAACAAGAACAACAAACACTATACGGAAGACACTCTACCAAATCTTTAGGGACCTGCAAAAGTTTACTTCAAATCATTTTTTTATATATTTATGTAGATATATAATCTGATTTTTCTTAACATTCACATTACTTTTATAGAAAATACTGTTCAATGTAATTCTCAAGAGCTTTATAACTAACCTCTTTAAAGTTAGGATTATCAACAACTATATACATATACCCATTTAATCCGCTTGGTTCAGTAGATGTGCCTTGGAATTTGCAAAATCAGCTGCATTTAGAACAAGAATTTATACATATATATATACATACACACACATATATATAATCCAGGGAATATATAGTAATACAAGACCAACGAAAAAACTCGACAAAAACTCGATTCATTTATCTGCTGAACCATATAACTATATAGATATATATACATAAGATCCTAGATTCCTAAATGGGAAATGCCACCAAAATAATTTTTTGGGCAAATGCATTTATTTAGAGAAAAGATGACAAATCAAGTTTCTAGAACACTGAAATCACATAGTAGATATACAAATAAGGGCATATGATCTTCGGCCTGGATCTTCAAATTTTCAATCAACAGTTAACGATTTTCGATTTAGTAGCTATTCCAATATTTACAATGAAATATCTTTTATTCTCAACTAGTTTAGCTAACCTATGCGAAATTTATCTATGAACAATATGGGCTGGAAAACCATAATCAAAATAATCAAGTTCAGTTTAATTTTTCTTTCAAGAAACATCAGATGATTGAAGAAAGCTAAATTGGGGAAATATGATCAAGATCTTATATTATTGTTTGAACCAAGAAAATTTTTTAATTTTTTTTTATAAGCTCTAACTTAAGGCATACATTTTGTGGCTCGGCTTAACCTGAACTTCTACAAAGTTATTTAAACCTATCAAATCATTTATAGATATTTATATATATATATATACTTTACCTACATATGTAAGTGCATACTCATAGAAAGTATATAATAAATAAATAAAGCATTTCAAAGCTCGCTCGAGCAAGAAAACCGAGTTTAGAATGATGAAAGTTGGAATACCAATGGACGCAGCAATCTAAAGCACCACAAAAATTCGTACTCTATTAAACGAGCATAGTGGACACTTACCTTGAGCTCCTCCTGACGCTTAAAGTTAGCTGCCATCATTTGACGACGCAGTTGCTCATTTACGACCTGCTCCCTGCCAGGTGGACCCTCGCCTAGCTGATTCAATTTGACCACCACCTAAGAGGAGATAACAAATATACCTATTTAGCATCTGAATGTAACTGAAACTCATCTCATCACCTTAGTCTTATCATTGCTGCCCAAGTAATCCTTCAGCAGTTTGCCAGGCAACACTTGATGTCCTGCAAACCACAATTGTGCCTTGGACGGCTCAATTACCTCCTTAGAGGCTTGAGTGCCGGTCAGATCTTCCATATTGATAAATTCCATTTGAATGGTATCATGTGGTGGCAGCTTCATTGGATAAACAATCATCACGGCACCGCGCAAGATGTTCAAAGCCTCCTCAACGATCTTTAGGGTCAAAACGGTGTTCGTTTTGCACAAATTCTGTTGAATGGGAAACGTTAAATATACCCAAACATAGACCATATGAACAATATAAATATATATGTACCTTATCTATCATTGCCTTGGCATCAGCCATAGCCTTTTCCAGAACTTTGCGCATCGCTTCGTTTGGCTGCTGACCGTTGCGCCGGCAAAGCGGATCCTTGTTGAAGGTAAAGCCGCCCATCGGAATGCATTTATCGGCCCATTCATCCTTTAGGTGTAGCTCCTCAATCTGATCATCGTTTAGCTGCCTCATCTGCTCGGGCAACATGGTACCGTGTTCGGCCAGCTCCTCCATCTCCATGCAAATACGCTGAACTTTTAAGCGGCCATTGAAAACCGACACCAACTCTCGTATAACGGTATCGGTAGCCGTGTTCACACTTGTCTCGTAGAGAAACACATGATCATCGCCGCGTTTCACATGTAGCACAACCATTTTGAACAAATATATATCAATTTATTTAAAAACCTAAACCGTACCTCTCGAGTTTAGATTTTCAATTGTATTGAAGGCAACGTCAATTGCTACAAGGAGCACATATTTATTATTATTGAATGTCACTGAAAGTGCTGACAGCCTTGCCAGCTTGGTGTTGGCATGGCAACGCTTGATCAGTTAACGTAACGGTTGTATGTTGCCATGCAACATGTCAGAAATAATTGTTATTGTTATCGAATGGCCGCCACTAACAGCGTTGCCAGTACGCGGTAGGCATGGCAACGCTAACGAGTTATGCCGATTGAATTCGAATGTGCGGAAAATAGAATTTTTGTTTATTGTTAATTAGCAACCACTATTATTTTTAATTGCTCCCCATTTAATTGCGCTGTCGGTCTTTTTTAATAACGCATGGAATTCAAACAATCAGCAAAATTATTGCACATGAAATTTTTTTTATTTTTTCACTGTTTCCTAAAAATATGTATGCAATAGTACACAATAAATTAATATACTCTAACTTACAATAGGAAAAATATACACCTGTATAGAGTATAGGAATAGGGGGTAGGGGGTAGTAAAGTACAAGTAGCCTACATGTATACGCTTTTAATGCATTCCCAATGTATATATATACAATACTGCAGCTGTCCATGGTGATTAGCCTCTGACTGCTGCTCGTAACTATTTTGGAGGGAAACCGGCCTTAATCAGATCCATCAATAAATTATGTCTAAATAGATGTGCGCATCAATTAACTAAAAGTCTTTGAGCATCCGTACGAGGAAGAGAGAACTCGAAATGTGGGGAATTTTTACGTGTGCCGTGCTTTAAAGGGGCGTTTCACTGTATATCTGGCTATCTGAGTACACGTCGGAAGTTTTCCATCTCGTATATACTGTTCGATAATCTGAAAGGGAACAAATACACATTAATTAGTGACATGCACAAATGTTATACAGAAAGTGTGTGTGGGCTTGGGTCGGCTAAGCAATACCCTATATTCCGTGACGATCTAGTATTTTAACATATTTAGCATCAAATGTCGGATTAGGAATACTTGAGTAGATTCTCTTACTCTTGACACATATATATTATCACTTAGCCAATATACACAATATATATATATACAATATACACTTTCAAGGGATAAAAACTAACCTGCCAAAGGCATTGAAGAGCGCTACAATTTCCGTGCGCGACAATCGGAATATGGGATCCGCCTCGATGTGCGGTTTATCCCATATCCCGCTTTCCGTTGCCAAATTCAGTTTTTCCGAGTAGAGTATCTTGAGTGCGGTGCCCAGACCTTGCGTCTGCAGTTTGCCCCAAAGCTTGCACTTATCACAGCCAACACAATCCATAATACGTGAGATATTTCGAAATTTCTCTTTGTAATCATTTTTGAATTTAATCGAGGCTATGCCGCTGCTGAACAGGGCATTCTCATTAAAGTGGGATTGGAAGGATCTGTAATGAGATGCATATATATGATATCTGCTCTATATCACTTATAGAACTTAGCTCTACTTACTCTATGACCGTCAGCATATCGTGCATGGCCAGCTTTACTTCCTCATCCTCCTCGGCAATGCCCGTATAATAGTTCTCGCGCCTCAAATACGGCGCTGCCTTTGCCAAAGCTCTTAATTCGACTAGATAAATGAAATACAAATTGCGGAGCCAGTGTGGGCCTTCGCCGTTAGTTGTTTCTGGACTGAAGCGACGCTTGAACTCCTTCACATTGGGTCCCCAGATGCCTTGCGGATCTAGAAAATCTTTTGTCTCGGACAACAAATATTTCGAGCACAGGTGTATGTTGATGCTTGAGTGTAATCCGGAGATGATGCGATAGAAGGCCCGTTGCTCCAAGCAGACGTCGCGCAACTCCATGTGGGGCATATAACTGGAAAATTTATTGGCCGTCTCGTTGTTGCCACCAAAGCAGTTCTCCAAATAGATGCTCTTCCAGATGCGATGTGCCGAATCGCCCTTATAGCCCGTATAACGTTCCGGATTCAACAATAAGTCCACATACTGTGCATCCACGTCATGATCGTCGACAATGCAAAAATCTTCCTCGGCTTCATCGTGCATGGCCCACAATTCGAACTCCTTATGAGCCTGATCACTGATGCTCGTGTCCAGGAAACCCAAAGCACTATCGAAATCCTCCGCATCCGAGCAGCCTTTCTCCAGCTGTGCCTCACGGGTGTACTACATAAATACAGATCAGTTAATAAGGAAGTCAAATGAGAGAATATTCTTAGCTCTGCAGCTGTGTAAATAGTGATGCAATAATCTTATAGACAAGCTCTTAAAGGTAGGCGGGTCTCATAATGTGGCGAATCCCATTGAACTCTTAACATCTGTGTCAATAAGCCACGTCATATTCGGGCCAATTGTCAAGCACTGATGATATATACTATAAGTATACTGTATCTTTCAGACACGTTCATTCATTGAGTGGTATATTTATAGATAATGAGTGGAATTTATGACAATTCATCCAAAAGAGTAGCGAGATAATAAATAAATATTGTTACTTAAGGGAAATGGTCTGTCAAAACTCAATTAAACTTTCTGTTGATAACAAAAATGGAGATACCGTGAACTTTCTTAAAACCAACAGTTGGTTTTAATTAAAACATTCTTTAAGGAACGAAACCCTATGATATAGGATTTGAATGGATTTACTTAAATTTTACCTATAACATATAAATAAACAATACTTTAACTTAATCTTTTGTTAGTTTGTGATAATAAAATATTATCAATATAAGATATGTTATCAATATATACAACAGATTTAGTAGACACATTGATAACTTCCCTACAAGAACCCTCTCTATAAAACTTTAGGACAACTTTCACTATAGTAAGAGCAGAAGACATTTCTTTTAGGCAACTTTCACTGTAGAAGCAACGTAGCTGTTAATCGTTTATAGTTACTTGAAACGCGCGACGGCCCATACTCTTATGTATATTA